GAGCCGGCCGGGGCCCCGCGGGAGGGCAGGGCAGCAGGCGCAGCCCGGTGCTAGCAGATGGAGGGGCCAGACGGCCTCGCCGAGTGGTCCCGCCGCCCTGCCGCTCGGCTGGGCGCCTCCAGCCCTGTGTAAAAACAAGAGCGTGAACTCCATTTGCTAAAGAATAAGACTGGCTTTTGAAGTACGTGGCCCTATTTTAACGTGTGCTTTCCCAGTGCGTCTTTATTGCTTGTTCTCCTAACAAGCCCAGCTACTGCATCCTCCCGAGGAGCACGGTGCTCGACACTTAACCCTGCAGCCTCATGTACAGGCTTGTTCCAAGGCTTTCCTTCTGCAGCTTTCTCTATTTCCTTGAAATTGTTGTTTAAATAAAGGAGTTATTTGCATTTTTTTTGCTGCTGGGTAAGCGACTCGAGTCGTTACCCCCCCGCCCCCATCCTAAAAAGTGCGTCTTTTGCCAATTCCCACGTTAAGGGCAGCAGGGTGTATACGTAGCTGATTCAATTCTGTGAATCGCTGTGCTTTTGAATTATGTCCCCCGTGCCCCAGTATGAGTTCTGCTGCATCTCCACCAGCTGCAACATCCCCGCTGTGTGGCGACTGCAAATTCAACATGACTGGGCCCTCTGAGGGTCTGGGTTTGGAGCGTCGCAATGGCAAAGCACAAGGGGCTATTAAGAAGCGGGCTTTTGAAAGCAGGGGTTGCGCTTCGAGGGGATGCTCCTTTCTAGGCAATTGCCGCAAGGATTGCTGGTGTTTAGAAAAAGCACGGGGCAAAAGATTGCCTGCGGAAGGCACATCTGCCAGAAAAGGCTCGGGAGGATGCAGAAAGCCAGCGGTGAGTAATGCTTTGGCAGGCGTTCTGCGGGCAAAAATCTGTCCACGGCCATCAAGCGAGAGAAGCGGTAGTGTTTAACACTGGAAGCATTTCATCTTCCAAATGCTGTTTGCAGCCTTTGTCAGTGAATCCTCACGACACTCGTGTGAGGGAGGGAATGTCAGCAGCAGCAGGTGAAACGAAGCTTTAGATGTACAGTATGCCAAGGAAAATGAAAGAAAAAGCTCTCTGTGTCAACATTTCCTCCTCTTTTTCTCCCTTTTCTCCCTGTGGAGCACCAGCCATTGGTTATAACCAACGTGCTGGGGAGCCAGCCGGAGATGCGGAGGGAGTTCGGACTTCCCGGCCGGCACGACCAGGCACGGGTTACCTGAATGCAGCCTGGAGTGCGGCACAAGCGCACCGAGCCGGCACCGGTGAGTTTGGGCTTGAGTTAATTTAAATTGTCTTTACCATAATAGTCCTGTGCGCTTTATGCTGGGAACGCCTGTAAGCCTTGGCTTGGCGCTGCCTTCACCGGGAACAGCCTCTGTTACTTACTCGCTCACCCACAGGAAGGAGTGGGAACAGAAAATCTCCAAAATTCTAGTGCTGCCGATCAAACTCTTCTGACAGAGCTTAACGCAAGTCCTGCCTCACTGCCAACGCAAGCCACCGGTGCACCGCAGCACACAGGTCCGGCGCTGCACCCCGGGTCTAGCAGTTACATACACTTTATATACCAAATGTAACCAACATTCAGCTTTTCAGCCCTCATTTTGACGCTCGGCGCGCGTTTGGATGCCAGGTGTTACTGGTGGGACTTGGCCACCTGCCTGGGACAAGCTCCAGGAGCATCCCTGTCCCTTTGCATCCCTGCCCCTTCTGCGGCAGAAGCACCGTCCCACTGCCGTCGGCTGGTCCCTTCCAAGGAACCAGAGAACCGCGCAGGTGCTTCCCACTGGGAATCCTTTCTTTGGAAAACCTTCCCACTGACTCTGGAAATCCTAAGCTAAACCAAATACAACGACGCGCGCAGGCCTTGTGTTCAGGGGTCCTTTGGTTTATGGTTGTCAGCAGAGCGTGCTGGCATTAAATGGAGCCGGGGAGGGGCTGGGATCTGGGAAAACAAGATGTGTGGGTGGGACGTGGCGTGAGGAGCAGAGAGGGGCTCCTGGCCGGCGGAGTTCTCTGTGGGAGCTGATGCTGCTGGAGGTATTTTAAGGCTGAGATGGTGAAAGAGAAAGGTGGGCACTCCCTTGTGCCAGAGCAGGGGAGCCAGAGACCTGGCGTTATTGCTGCTAGTGCCCAGCAGAGCGGCAGTGGGTCCTCACTGTACAGTACTAAATACAGCTTCAGTATTTAATCCTGTTTAGGGGGTTACTGACACAGCTGCCAACCATGCTGGGCTGTGAGCTGGTTAGGTGAGCGAGAGCCATCTCCTTTTCCTCTGCAGGCCTCCTCTGTTCGCCCCGGCGTGCCTGTGCTCACATCTCTGGCTGGGGTTTTGTCATGGATGTCCCACGAGCACTGCCTCGGCAGAGCACGGCCTCTGATGGGGACCCTCCTCTGGCTCCCAGGTGCCCTCCTCTTCCTGTCCTCCCTGCTGCCTCAACCTGCCTCATCTCCCTTCTGCAACTTCTCTCCCAAACTGCCGGTCCTCTCCGTCCCATGCCACCATACCTGCTCCTTTCCCTGTCTCCTGCACACCGACGCTCATCTGGCCCCTTGCCTTTGGGCTGTGCTGCTTTGGGCTGCTCTCACACCGTCTCTCCTAGATGGGCACAGCGAGAAAAGAGATATTGTCCCTCTCAGGCATGGCACCGGAGAAAACTCAGACCTCCTGAGACCAGAAAGATACCACTAGCTTAGGCTCCCAAGAGAGGACAGCTGAACTTGTGGCTGGCCTGGAAAGACTCATGTTCTCCAGGATCATGGACTTTTAAGAGAGGCAGAGAAGAGGCAGGGATCAGCATTGCCTACCTGTCCCCAGGTGCAGACAGGCCCCGAGCGGGATCTCGGAGGTGGCTGTCTCACCCAGACACCAGACAAACTTTTGGGATGGTCTTCTAAGCGTCCCTCCATGCTCCCAGAGGTGACATATCACCTCTCACACTCCCCTCTGCCCCAACGGCACCCAGAGCTCTTGGTGACGGGAGGCGATGGCCACACGTATCCCAGCTTGGCCGCATTTGTCCTCCTCTCTGTGCCCCCACATTTTGCTGTGCTGGGCACTACCCTTGCCCGTTCCACACCTCTCCCCCTGCCTTTCCTTCCTCCCTTCCCTCTCTTCCTTGCACTTTCCTACTCCATCACTTGGCTCAAATCAGCTCCCTGAGACCTCCCTTGACACTACATGGCCAGTATAAACCATCCCTCTCGCTTTAGATACTGGTGAAGAGATGCCCTGACTGGAGACACCAAACTTGGAGCTGTCTCTCTTGGATGCCCAGGCAGGAGATGACACAGGCAAGCTACCTGCTTCTGCTTGGCCAAGGAGGCTCAGAGTGCAAGGTCAGGCTTCTCAAGGGTGTTTAGATGCCTGAGGTGTGATAAAGAGCCACGAGGCTCCTGCCCACCTTGCTGTCACCCAAGTGTGGTGAGGTTTCCCAAAGCACCTCTCCACATTTCAGGTACTTGAAGGTCAAACCCTGCCTACAAGAAGCCAGGGCTAAATATTTTTGGTACACCCCAGTGCTTCAGGGCTAAAGTTTGGAAAGAGATGCCGTGTGTTTGCAGGAGCATCAGCTGTGCTGAAATCACTTAGGCCTGGGAGGTGCTTTGGGAAAGGTCGCTGGGTACCCAGGCTGGCATCCTCACCAGGATGTCCCCATGCACGGGGGCACCAGGACCATCCCTGGGGCATCCTTGCTGGTCCAAGTCCAGCAGCTCCGTGGCATCCAGCGAAGTGCTTAAGAAATGGGTTACTGAAACCACTAGACAAATTTTAACATTAATTTTGCAAAACTTGAGGTAAAACTGTTACTGGTAATAAATGCTTTTAGACAAGTCTTAGTAGGTTTTGTTACTGTGTCTGTCTTAAGACACCAGTAGAACTTGATATGGCTGTTTTACTTGTTCAAATAGCTGTCTGGAAAAAAGGAGAATATACAAATTCAAGCTGCGGCAGCTGTGTTCAACACCAACCCCCCTGGCTTTGGGGTAGCAACTGGAGCCATAAGGTACCCTCAAAATGATCATGTGTCTAGCACTTCCCAAAGGAATAGTGTTTAAAAAACAAGATAAATAACCAGGAGAGTTAAAAATATCCCTTAATTTCACGGGAAAAAAAAAGTTTTCCTTCCAAACTACACTGTTGCTGACTAGTATTTTAAGGCTTTGATTTTTTTCTCTTTTTTAAACCTGAAGTATTTTTGTCTTTTGGCAGTTGAAATGCACTTTGTGGGAAACACGTTAGCTCCCTCTACAGCACTGCAGATTGGAACGGAGGAGTAGAATGAGGCAGCAGGGGAATAAACCAAAAATAATCCAAAATAAAATAAAATGGGGCTGGGGAAAGAAGAACTTGCTGCAAAGTTTTCTGGGGTGGGAGGAGGCATTTGCGTATTTCTTCCTCATCATCTTCTTAGGAGGAAAAAAAAAGAAAGAGAAAGGACCTGTCTGCGGGACCGGAGGATGCTCCCGACAGGCGGGAGGAGAGGGCTTTAGTAGAGTCCACATCCCCGCAGGTTGTTGGCGATGATGACATCCGTGACGGCGTCAAAGACGAACTGGATGTTGTTGGTGTCGGTGGCGCAGGTGATGTGTGTGTAGATCTCCTTGTTGGGGGACTTGTTCTTGCTCTCGTACTGAGCCTGGATGTAAGCCACGGCCTCTGTGAAAGCGTTGAGGCCTGTAAGAGAGCCGAGATGAAAGGAAAAAGAGTGGATTAAAGCCATCCCGTAACCTTAAATCAGCAGGGTGCCTGCAAGCACCCCGTTGTAGGGACACGGGGAGGTCGTACAGGGCCACTGCAACCCAGCCGCCCCATCTCCTTCTCAGGGACGGGCACCAGCACCAGCCAGGATTGCTGCAAGGGAGGAGATGCTCTCTGACTGTCAGCTCAGCTGTATTTTTATCCCAAGTTGCTGTTTATAGGCTACAGAGATGAAATGGATGAGGGAACTGAGTGTTAAACAGGCTATGACGGGAAACCCAGAAGAAATTCCACATCATGGTGACAAAAAAGAGAAAAAAACCTGCCAGAAATGTGGTAAGTGCTTGACCGGGTGAAAAGGCTTAGCTTTTTTCCTTTTTTAGATTTTTTTTTATTTAAAAAAAAAGCTTTTGATGGAAAAGAGGAACTAAAATGTCCACGAATTGAGGGCAGTATTGGTAACTGTGCCCTCCTTTCCCTGAATTGCTAAGAGAAAAGAACATGAAAACATCCAGCCATGTTACAGAGCAAGGTGGGTTTTCTAAAAAAAAAAACAAAAAAAAAAACAAAAACCAAACCCAAAGCTAACACAAAATGTCCCTCTTTTTGAGGAGTTAGGATCACAGTAAGCTCTGCTAGAGCCGTGGCTAAAATCACAGCACGAGGACTTTCTTGTTTTGATGTGGAGAGATGTCTGTGCCAAACCTTATTAACCATCAGGTTTTGTGTTAATAAAGCTTAAGACCTGTCATGCAAAAGAGCAGATCCTTCCTCATCCGGCCAGCCCTGACGTTGCTCACACACACAGCTCCACCCGGGCACCTGCTTAGGTCTGATAAACTCCGTTTCCCCGGCTGGCCTGGAGCGCAGCCCTCCAGCACCGCTGGGTGCTGCCGGGTGCCAGCGCCCCGAGCCCTGGAAGGCTCCGCAGTGGTAACGCCGCTAATGCTTTTGCATCCCTCTCCCTCCACGATGCTCTACTGATGGGAAACATAGTTATCTGCCAGAGAGAGGCTTACTCGGGCTTGAGATTTGCGGTGGTTGAAGGCAGCGGCTCTGGAAAATCACTTGCACTTACACGTACGTGCATCGCTAGTTGAAGACACGAGCTCATGAAGACCATGAGAATATGTTTGGGAAAATGCTTGAAGGCAAGCAAAAGGTTTGCTGGGAGCAGGTTGTCACTTAAAGACCTGTGTAAAGAGCTCGGGAGCAGATCCACACGCTGTGCAGCACCAGGAGGGTATTTTACGAAAGGGAAGCTGGTTGCTCAAAGGCTCATGAGGATTTCGATGCTGGATTCCTTCTGGGAGAGCAGGGAATCACTAATGCCAGCTTGGTTAAAACATGTCCTGGATTCTGCTGCTGCTTTGCTAAGTGTTGTGCATTAGTTAAAAGCATGAGTGAATTAAGGGAATGGAAACAGTCAGTGCTCCAGCATACAGCAAGCAAATTTGTGGACACAGTCTTCTAGTAATTCTTTTTCAGCAGAACTAATGAACATCAGAAACTTCATTTCATTAAAAGCGTTTTGTGGAACCAACCTGTGATGTTGAAAGTCCACTTGTTTGACTTATAGACTTTCATGAAATAATTGTTTTTAAGTCCAGGGCAACTTTCTAATAACTTTTTCACAAGGCCACAAGGGCTTTATTTTCTGAGCTGTGGTCAGGAAAGCAGAGGCAAGCAAGACTAAGTGCGTGTTTGTGTCTAAAGTCTGGGCTTAACATCAGCACGAGCTAGCTTCCAACTTTTAACGGTGCTGCTGAATGCCTGGGGGTGAGATATTCTTCACCTCTGATTCAGATCCCTGTTGGATCAGTGGAAGGACTTTCAGCCTTCAGACTTCCATCCCTCCCTGATGCCATGAGACAGAAGTCTGTGGAGGGTCCCTAGCACTGTGATAACTCCCAGCTTCCAGAACATCATCTTGAAGGAATTGAGAGCATCTCTAGGGTGCTCTGAAATTTGGGGAGGAATGGTTTGGTTCACTTGGGGATGAAGTGCTTCAGAAACAACCTGTATTTGTTTTCCTCTGTGTAGTCATCTGAGAGCTTAGCTACGTGTGTACAAGAGTCTGCTTCCACCACGAAACTCCTCTCTTGGGCTGGGATAGCTTGGGAAGGAAAAGTTCTATATAAAATGACGTTCCTTCTTGTTCTAGTCTTTCTGCCATCAGGATATGATTTCAGAGTGGGGTTACTGGGGGACTTCTGTGAAGATCCACAAAACCAGGTCCACAAAATGTGACCAGGAAGGATTAAAAGGTGCAGGTTTGCTTCATGGAGAAAAGAGAAAAAGAAAGAGGGCATGATAAAAATCTGTATCAGTATATAGGAGCGCTGCTATAAAGAGGATGCTGAGGAGCTGGTCTACAAGCCATCCAAAAGATGGCAAGCAACAAACTAATTTGCAACCAGACAAAATTGGAGTTATTTTGAGCTGTAAAGACTGTGAAATTTCCACTATGAGATCTTTCTAGACAAACATGTCAGTAATATGTTTGTTCTGTTTGGACCAAGCAGATGAGTAGATGGCTGAAATGCGTTGGTAGCGACAAATATCCAAACATCCATTCCCCAGAGAGGAAGCCGGCAGATGTTCTTCTGAATTCACACGGAGTCGTCGAGCTCCACAGTCGTAGACCATTCAGCCCAAGGCAGCAGTGATGGATTACTTTTGCCTATTCACAGTGAAAAATCAAGTGCTCAGAGATAGGAAGCTCTGGTTAATAATTTGTTGGCCTGCCCAGAAATGTGACACTCTTGGTACTCCTGGTTCACAACGATGTTTCCTGACAAAGAGATCTGCTTCTCTGCCTGTCGGTTTGATTCATCTGGATGTCTCCGGTGAGCTTAAATAATTCATGATGATAAAAGTTTATTTTTATGCTCTCTCGGAATGGTAATGAGGGTTTGTGGAAGTTGGCGAGATGCAACGGGAAGCGGCAGGGTGCAGCTGCAGCCTTTGCATGGGTGATGTATTCTCATCATTAGCGGGTCAGGTGCCAGGCAGCCAGCAGGAGCGAGGGCTTCTTGCATGCTGCCCTGTTGCAGAGCCTCCGCTCTGATCTCCAAGTATCACTAAAGCCTCCTTCTCCCCAGCCAAGGTCAGGGCATGGCTTGCTGTGGCTCTTCTCTGTCTGCTCTATGGGTTAAGAGGTATGGGTGGCCAGTGCATGAGAAAATCAAGCGCCTTGTCTTCTATCTGCATTTAACTGGAAGTGTTTCCATGTCCAGATGCTTGATGTTAGCAAGCCTGAGAGCGAAAATAGGGACCTCCTAAGCTAATGTGATAAAAATGTGCAGCTTGAAGTGAAGCACTCAAGCTGTGGGACCTGCTGTCTGCATGCTGGAGGGCTGATCCTGCAGCCCCTCGGTGCATGGCAGTGGGGTAGTGGCCGGGAACTGCAGAGCCTGACCAGACCCTCACTGTGGTCAGCCAGGACCCACAGGGCAGCGTGATGGGTTATGAAACAGCAAAGCTGGACTCCAGCTGAGGACAGCCTAACAAACCCCGTGTGTTGGTTTCCCAGAGACCAGTTACCCATTTGTGACACTTAAGCTCATCGTTGCCTTTCTGAGACCTGCAAGAGGGTTCATGTTCCTGAGCAACGGTGGGAACCTGGGCACAGATTTAGGGAGTGTTCTGCCAGCCCCACACCTGCAGGTGTTGGCTCAGTATCGAAACTGCCCATGGGGCAGAGATCAAATGCCCTGATTAGTGGTGGTGGCCCTTTGCTGGCAAAGAACTTGGGATTTAAGTCATCCTCACACTTTAAGTGGACCACTAAACATGGCATTTATCATTAAATTATTTATCATGAAATAAACTCGCAGGGAAGCGAATGGGAGCTCTAGCTATGAACCTTTATCCTCATTGCCTGCGATATGGGGAACGCTCCGTGATGCCTTTGCTATGCGTTCCTGTTCAGCCAGCTTTCTCATTACCTGTATACTCAGGAAAGCAGATAGTCAGCGGAGATTTCTTAATTTTCTCCTCAAATATGTCCTTCTTGTTTAGAAAGAGGATGATAGATGTATCTGTGAACCATTTGTTGTTGCAGATGCTGTCAAAAAGCTTCAGTGATTCGTGCATGCGGTTCTGCAACAGAAAGGAGAGATCACATCAGGCCAAAGACAGCAACTCCGGGACATTCAACATGTAGGGACAACTAAATTAAGGAGGAAAACAAAATAAAGAAAAGCTACAATATACATAATAAATTTATGTATACATACAGCTGAACGTATACATACACAGATGCAATCCCTATAACATTTGACATACAGTTAGTAACTTAAGGGCATTTAACTATACAGAGCTGTTTTGTTTTTGCATAGCGTATAATTTACAGGATCCCAGCTCATAGAAATCATCATGCACCATGCATGGATGGGGCATTATTTTTGCCCTTCGATCAGATTTATGAGTCGGTGTAGCTCATGCAGATTTTCTAAAACGTTTTCATTAATTAAAAAAATTTTTTTTTCACTTTCTCAAGTGTGTGTGGCACACAACTGGTCGCATACATTAACCAAGGACTGGTAGATCCTTGAATTAATCTAGAGTTGGAAGCAGACATCAAGGTGACATAATTTTGGAAATGACCTTGCCGTGACCTTTGCCTGGTTTTGTTATTTTGTTTAGTGGTGTTGTCTATTGTTGGGCTTTTAATTTTTTAAAATTGTTTTTTTAGTTCTCTTGGAAGATGGCTCAGCAGAAAGTGTCTGGCAGAGAGGAAAAAAGTGAAAAAGGAAGAGGAAATAGTATAAAAAGGAAAAATGTAACAAAGGGCATCTAAGAACGACTAGACTAGAGGTCAGGCAGCTACCACTGATGTTAGCTCATGCCTCTAGAAAAACATTAGCTGCTCGCCAGCAGAAGAGCCACACGTTCAAATGCATGCACAGCGAGAAGTCAGCATTTCGGTTATAGGTCATGCAAAAAAACGACACAGGAAAGGAGAGAGATAAGAGGAATGAAAACAAACAGACCAGTTAGAGAGTTGCAAAGTCCGCCACATGGTTTTATGGTGGTGGAGAGAGCTCACGGCAAAGTCAACCAAGTGTCATGTTCCCTGCTGCTTTCAACTCTCAACTCGGTTTTTCTTTCTTTTTTTTTTTTTTTTTTCCTTCTCAGTTCAAGAGAAACTTCATACCTGCCAATTTGGTTGGTCTCTCAAATGCTCATTTTTTGGCCTTTGTTTGGCTAGATAAGGTCAGACGGCCGAGGAAAAGCTGTGAAGGTGCCGAGGCTGGCGATGTTTGGCACGCGAGGCCGACGCCGGAGTGCGCACGCCGGTCGCGTGGCCGTCTCTCAGCCGGGAGCCGGGTAGTGGAGAGAGCAGGCGCGGTGAGGACGAAGCACACCCAAGAGTCAGGGAGTTATCAAAGACAAAGCACGGTACAGACCAGACCGGCTCCTCGGCTTTTCCCAGCGGCATCTCCTTGGGACACCACTCCCCAAACCCGCTAGTGCACATACGAGACTGGTTACAGCGACCGCCGGAGAGATGCTAGAGAGAACAGGGCTGCACGATCTCATTGCTGGGAGGTTTTTCGGGGTGGGTGCAGTGTGTCCCCCCCAGATTTGGAAATTCGGAGTGGTGCAGGAGACAGCCGGGGGCTTTCACCCCTCTCCTGCTCCGTTTCATGCCCGCACTGGCAGCGTAATTGAGCCCAGCACTTGACTGATTAACGCTTTCCTTTTCGTTGATATACTTCAGCTGCTGCTGAATGTTTTACTTAGGCACAAGTGCCTCCGTGTATGAAGGAAACACCCGATCCGACCCAGAGTGAAACAGGACGCACGCGATTTGCCGTACCATACACCATACGCTTTGCTCCCAGACTCGAAACGACCGAGCATCTCCACACCGTGCATTGTAACGACACACGGGGAAGACGTGATTAGGCACAAATGTGAAAATGCATTTACTTATTGGGTCTCAGTTGCAAGACGTTGTCTGTCTGGATCATCCCACCTCTGCGTGCTGTTTTCTGCTAACCTGTTTTGTACTAGATGGTGTGGGAGCCCTGGAGCAATGCTCCTCTTTGCTATCTGTGGCGTCAAAATTGTAACCGTGTAAAACCCACACAGGTTAGGTTTTGTACAGGAGATCCTTGGCTACCCAAAGCCTTTGGGAGGAGAGAAGAAAGCGGAGGGTGGTCAGGGGAACAGAAAGCAAATACAAACAACTGGTTTTTTAAGCAGCGTCCCTCACAGAACATTTTTAATCACATTTTTATCACCCTTGATGATCTATAATAAAAGCACAGAGAAACACACAGAGAAATGCTGCTTGTGGGTTAAACCAATACCTCATCTGCAGCAGCCATCAGCCTGGGGCTCACCGTACTTACCACGCTGCACCTCGCCAGCCCCGTACCACGCTGCGCAGCCCCGGCGGGGAGCAGTGGTGTGCGACTGCGCCTGGTGGCACAGGAAGCACCACGGGTGTCATCGGTTTTGGTTAAGAAATAGAAGCTGAGGACTTCTCATGAGCTGGGCTTCGGGGTTAGGTGAAGCTGACTTTCCTACAGTAGCAAGACTACGTAAGGATCCTACAGAAATCCTTCTGCTTCGCTTATATGGTTTGATTAATTTGCGTTAATACCTGTTAGGAAATGAGAGTGTTTTCCCAAGAAACAGTGACTCTTAGCGTCTAGTTGTAACCAAAATACACACACAGAACAAACTAATACATCCCTGTCGAAAATGAGAGTTACAATAAAAATCCTCTATTCCTTTCAAATTCCAGAAACAAGTTTCAAAGCTTCCTAAGGCTGCCTGACCTGGCTTTCTGATCTCTACGTATTGATTTTTCCCCCAGCTCTGCCGGTCAGCTGAGTAAATATAACCACCGCTCTGCTCGCTCCTCCTTATTTACCTGGGAAAGGTTCTGGTCGTAACCTTTTCCTTCCACCTTTTCCTTCCCCATCACTAAAGAGAAGACGACGTTAGTCAAAAGCAAGGAACCACTTTCCGTGTGTGGCCAAGGTGCAGAGCAATGTCCCAGTGAGCGGGTACGGATGCTCCTGTTGCCGTACCTTGCTGCCGCATGGGAAACGCTGTCGCATCCCAGGAGGGCTCCTGGGAGCCCCTGCACGGATGTGAGCTCTCCTGGTGCCGGCTAACATCAGGGATGCCTCGCTGCCTCCCTTCCCTTTCCCTTCCCAACTGTTACAATCCCCCTTCTACCAGTAAATCCACAGTGGAAGACCCTTTTAGTCCCTTAAGGCTTAAGTCCTTAAGTTCCAGGGCCCCTCTCAGGAGCACCTGTGCTGCTGTGATGGGGCAGACATGCCTGCTCTGCTACGAGGCATTAAAGATTACATGGCTCATACTTTTATATGAAGTGATATAGATTACTTCACCTGCTTTTGGACCCATTGTGCTGCTTTTTCCTACTTTATTTTGGGTCTATCACTAAGGGAAGTTCTGTTGAAACACTGGCTTCTTAATGTCACTTCCTATTCAAAAATCAGTATTTTAAAATCCTTACGCCTGCAAATACTTTGTACCCCAACAAGGAAAGCAGCCCCACCAGCCACGTTACAGAGGGATAACCACGTGCTCATACAAATTAGAAGTCCAGTTAACTTTTCCTGCGCAGGACAAGAGACAGAATTGCTTATAGCTGAAGTCAGATGTCATTCCACAACCGTGTTCTCATCGCTGATGTGAAGGGCAAGCAGCTTCCTGAGCGTGAGGGAGAAAGGATGCTACGGCCAAGACTCTGCCCAGACAGAAAGACACTCAAAACCCACCTTTTTTTTCTCCAGAGCATGGGAGGAGACCTGGTTATTTCTGCAACACACAGTCAATTCAGTCTTTTTGTTTTTTCTTAGAAATTAAGTGCCGTCATGTGAACTATAAGGACACTAACAGTTATCCCAAGCACAGAAACTCCATATTCCCCCTCCTGCTTGTATTGCCTAAGATGTCCAAGCCGCTTCCACTTGCTTTGTCACTCCTAAGGCAATTTCTGAGCACTGCAACTCAGTTTTCCTTGCCCAATGACAGCAGAGAGAGCATGCTAACCGGGTCACACAATGAAATACAAACCAACAGGCCAACACTAATGCACACCAAGGGTCACCAGCACAGCGCCTTCAACCCATCCCGTGCTCAGCAATGGGGACACGAACAATACTTGCACGTCTTGGCTAGATATGGATGACCTAAATAGCTTCGTTTCAGAGGCAACAATGTGCAGCATGAACATCTCCCTCTCTTGCCATGACTCCTTTGAATTTGTGAGGAAAAAAACAGAGAGTAGTCTTGGATGCCACGACAGGTCCCATGCCCTTGCTGTCTTTTTTTAAATTTCCATTAGGGATTCCATTTAGAAGGAACAACGCAAACCTGCCTTTGTTAATCATCTTCTCCAGTTTTACTGATTAATACGACTGCTGTCCCTCTCCATGCACTGGCTTTGCAAGCATTTTTTTGGGCACCTGAGATGCAGTAGGGCTCTCTCCCTCTCATGGCTCCACACCAGTCATGAAAGCTCTAGAAGTCTTTTCATACTCACAGAGACATCTGTACAGTCCCCAAACCTTCAGTGGCTTAATAGAGCTGGAAGCGCCCCGACTCTAGTAAGCATCTCTATAGAAAATGAAGATGGAGGAGCAGCATCCAGTTCACTCTCTCAGCTGCCTTCTCTTTGTGTTTTCTAAGTGAGAAGCAATAAAAGCTGATTTACGTCATTAAAGCCAGCAGATGTGACGGATGCAGACAGACAGCAAATCAGCTGACTGAAGAGATGCTGCTTTTACTGCTGGGTTTTTGGAGAGGAACCACGTTAGCAGGGAGGAGATCGAATGCTTGGGGGTTCAGCTGGGAGAGGGCTGAGTCTGCGGGTGCCGCGTTTTCCACCTGCCATTTGTGCTGGGGGTATAACAGAGCAGACAAGATCTGACACCGTCATTTTTTCCTATTTGCATCGGCCGAGCTCAGGGTTGTTTATTTGGGTTAGGCGGGGGTGTCCTGCAGGCACGGCGGTGGCGATGCCGAATCCTTTCCCTGTTTATGCCGAATGTGTAAATGAACAGCAGCTGCCTCTGCCCTCCTGTTGCTCAGCATCCCCAGAAACGCTTTGTGAAAAGGGATTGAAATAGCAAGCAAATGTCAGCGCTGCGCCGGAGCGCAGCTCCAACTTCGCTCTCGCGTCCGGAAGGCAGGCGAGCCCGCTTCCCTGCTGCAAGGGCGAAGCTGGAGCTGCACAAATCCCCGCTTCTGCAGTCGGGCACTTCGGGGGGCAGCTGAGCTGGCACCCTGCTCGCCGCCGGGGTGGTGCTGGGTGACGGACAGTCACTGGCAGAGCTCAGCATCCCCAGGAGTGATGCTGTAACCTCCGTCTCAGAGGAGTTAAGTTAAGGCTGACATTTCAAAAATGGCATTAGCATTCAGGCCCTTCCATTTTGTGCCCCGTGGCTTTGAATCACAGGCTCTGCCTTGTGTAGACTGGCACCCAAAGGTGACCTGTATTAAAGGCTGCCTTTGGCTTCACGGTTTGGGTGTCACAGCCCAGGTTATACCTACAGAGCACCTTGCTCTCCGCTCAGATCCCAGCTTCGCTTCCTGCTCTCTGGGTCTGCCCTCTCCCTTCTCCTTTATCTCCTGGGTGTGCTTCCCCTGTGGCATTGAGCTAATGGCTGGGTTTTTCACATCGTGCCAGGCAATTTTGGTTCCTTCCCAGTAAATCCTACAGGACTGAGGATCCAGGAGCATACCAGGGCCAGGGTCAGAGGGAGGTGTCAACTGAGGATTATAAACAAGTGGATGTGAGAGGGTGTAGGGCATCTCAGGCAGTCTGGAGGGACATAGTCATGATGTTACTACCACCCTGAATTCTGGCATCGATATGACTCAAACAACCACGTGACTTCATCAGTTTGCCAGAGCTCATAAACCCAGCTCAAAGAGGCTAGAAACCACGGCCCCCCCCGTCTTTTTGGGAAAAGGTGACTGATAACTAATAGCAATCGTTCCCCTAATTTGTTCCTCATCAACAGCTCTCTGCAAGCCTGGCATCTTTATCAGCAGGAGAATAAAGACCCCCAGAGAGAGAGAGCTGGCAGGAGCGAGCCTTCCATGATGCCGCAGACTGGGCACAGATGAAATCATTACCCAAGTCTGAGTATGGCCTCCGATTCCTTTTCGTTAGACAAACGCAACTGGGTGGCCGCTGCAGTCGTAGTTAGTCCCAAAAGCATGCATCCCCGTCACACCGAATGAATGGCCAGAAGACAGTAATGAGTCTTCTTGAATACTTTCTGTGTATTTAATTCACTGATATTAATTGCACTCTAATACCAGGGAGCACACAACTCCTCACTAGCTTTATTTCCAGATGGTATTTTGAGCCTAATGTCACAGTGGGAAGTCATAAAAGCTCTCCTAGAGCAGACTACCTGAGGAATCAAACAGTTCCACTCTCACTCAGGAAAATTAATTTCTGTAGCCTGAAGAAATAGGTTATACTCCTAGACTGAGCCTGCCTTGGGCGTGCATGGCCATCCTGCACCTCCGCACCACGGCATGACCCCTTCCTTACATTTGTTTTAAAAGCCCACCCAGCTATAACTCCTCTCTTTCTGGATATAGGGTCCCGTTAACACGTTTTGAAAACACACAGGTCAGCTAGAAAGGAGAAATAAACCACTGTGACTTTACAGGTGCAAGGAAGCGTTACCTGGGTGTGCAGGACTTGATTTTGAAGCGTGTGGAGAAGGACAAATCTCCCCAGGATTTCAGAGTCAAGGGGGAGTGACTGACAAAAACACATTACTGTAGCACCCCAGTGAGCATTTGGCGATCTCTGAGCAGTTGCTGGCTATGCAGTATCCCGTAAAAAAGTGTTGGGGCCTCCAAGACCCAGTTAGACTCACCGTGGTTTCGTCTTCATGGAGCACCTGGTCATAGCCACTCAGTGCGACGCAGAAAATGATCGCCGTGACATCCTCAAAGCAGTGAATCCACTTCTTGCGTTCTGACCGCTGGCCCCCGACATCAAAGAGCCTAAGGCACAGGAGAGGACCATCAGCACCTGCTCTTTCTTAGTTATGAGGAAACTTTACCATTCTTGGCATTTTCTGACCATATGGTCCCTGAAAGGTTCCAAACACAAAGCAACAGGTCTTTCACCACTGGCTTGGTCTTCTCCAGAGCCTGGAGCCAAGGAAGACGGGGAGGAGCAGTTACAGCTAGGGCTGTGGGCGTTTGTGGGAGACTCAGCAGTGTGCTGGGTCCCAAAGGGTCTGCGGAGGCGGAGACCACACACTCGTGAGTTTTATATGCTCTAAATGCTGTTTGTGTGTGGCTTTCGGTCTTCATGGCCTCTTCTCTCTGCTGGCTGGCATCATGAGAGTGTTATATAGCATTATTTTTACATTTATGAGCTTGATCAGACTTGGGGCTAATCTCATATTATACCTCCCAATGAAGTAGTGTTGTTTGGATTAGAAGAAGGTACCCTGAGTTCCTATCTTAAAGGCAGTTATTTTCAAGACAAGACTGCCAAACGTCACATGTTGTTGACCCCCTAAAATGCCACGTCCTCTGCAGTGGGCGTCACCTGTGTGTTAACCAGCTGTTTAACAATTTCTCCTTTGGGAACTACAGGGAAACACTGTGACAAATAGGCGCCCTGAAAATTTAGTGTGCAGTTTTAGACTAACCTGAAGTGGAGGTTTTTGAATGTGAAGTGGGTTTCTACAATGCCAGTTGTTTTGACCCTGGTTCGGAGGATATCCTGCTCCGTGGGCTGGTAGTCTGCAGCTCCGATTCGATCTAAGCTGTCTAGGTAGCTAAGAGAAGAAGGGAACAGAAAAAGAAAACAGATAAGAGTAAGACACACATTAATCTCCGTCAATCTCAGATGAATCCTTCAGCTTCCTATTAATCTTTTTCAATCACATTTTTCATGGCTGAATGTATTGTAGTTAAAGGAAAAAAAATCCTATTCTGGGGAAAAAAGAAACCTTAACAAACCCCACTAACCTAAGCACAAAATCTGATAGTAAACTGAAAGCAGGAAATTAAGGGGGGGGGTGTGTGTTGTGAGCCCTGATTGCAATCTGTGAAAATACACATTTTTAATATTACTTGCTATTTTTATTCCCTGAGGGACGAAGGTCCCAATCGGTCCATTGTGCTGGATGCTGCTTATACACACACATGCTTTTCTGCAAACTTTTATTCAAAACATCACAGCCTTTTCAGTTAAGAGGTTGGAGCATATAGGTCTCGCTCCTAGAACAGACAGGTCGAGTCACCTTTGGGAGATGCCTCTCCCTCTGCTGGGAAGGGAGGGGGACGGGGCAGCTTGCTCCGACAAGATACCTTGCCTTCAGTCAGCTCAAATTAAAGGAGATAAATCTGCCAAAGTGAGTCACCGCTTCAGTTTGAAATCCAGCATAGGGCTGTGATTGCGGGAGATGCAGCGCTTGGACAAAATCCAGGCGTCCACTTAGATGGTTGTAATCGGGAGTATAAATTGGGGTTTTTTTGGGGGTAGAAGGGAGGCTTAGCTTTGTAAAACACTTGGATAGTTTTAAAACATTTACCCTTATTCTGCTCTAGGTTTAAAATCTATGAACATAGGCAATGCCTCTGTAGGCTGAAACTTTGGGCAGGAAGTCCAGCCTTTCGGTGTGAAATGTTTTTGTAGGGGAGCCCAACAGCTGCGCACGTATGACCACAACCCATTTTTTCATCCACATTCAAGACAATTTTTCAAAACAACTCAGCCCAACTAAATATAATTTATAAAGAAAAGCGGAATTTCAATTACAGTTTAACACGAATTATAAACAGAGCTGCATCACACAGCAAAGTCTTTCTCACCACATCGAGCTGCACGCTGACACTCCAGCTCCTCTTAACGAAGGTTTGATGTGCATTACAGGGCCTAAATGCCTCCCTCTAGCCCCAGGAGCATCAATCCAATGCACATGAGAGGCATTCAGTGTACTGTGAATATAATAAAGCCGGTCTGTGTGTGAGCAGTGGTCTTGCCCTTTGGATCTCTGTGCTTCTGGCAGCCTGGATATTGCCCACAGGGGCAGCGGGGCAGGAGGTGACATGCTGGGGGCATGACGGGAGGGTACCCGTTCAAGTCTTAGCCAGAGGATGGCAGCTTTGCCCAATGCGGCTTGCAGAAAATAAAGGGTAGTAAGAGGAGCTTGTGCAGTTGTAGGTAAGGAAAAGACACTGCTGTCCCTAGATAGTACGAGTTTACTGGTAAGTGTAAGAAGGTATGAGCTGGAACCATTCACATAACACAGCCATGATGTCTAAGCTTGACTTTCTCTTTCAGTTTAGCTAAATGTGATTTTTTTTTTAAACGTAGAGTGTGGGCTTAGTCCTGGTGAGTAACCCACTCACACCGAGTTGCTGGTGAGCACATTTCCCTCTGTGCCTTGCCAAAGCACATCCCGCTCCGCCTGAACGCGCCGCCCTGTCCTGCCACTGGAGATGCTTCCATGCTGCATCAGAAAGAAGGAAAAGGCTTTCCATTTGTGTCCTGGAGGGAGTGCTCTGAGCCAGGGCTTCGGAGCAGGACACCTAGTGTGCTGGGGCCATGCACTCTGCTACCTGCGCAAACTCATTGCCAACGGCTTTCATGCCTACCCTGCTACCCTGCAAAAGCAAAGGGACAACCAAACTGTGCTAAGGTGAAAACCAAACCTCACCCTGCTCGCACCACGTATTTTGGCTACCCATCATATTTATCATTCATTTTTGCTAAAGAATTGCAAAAATCACATCAGCCAGAGAAAAGTATATAAGCTAAGCAGGCTTATTTTTATTGTGCCCTTTTTCAAGCATTTAAAGCCATTGTGGTTTTGTGACAGATGCTCCCTTAATAGCCTTATGATGGGCCCTGGATGGATGAATGGGGCTTCATTTGGAATCAGATCCTCTGCTGTGACGGCTGAAGCCACGATCACTCATCTATTCACAACTGGTGTCAACTCCTGTTATTTAAGAGACAGCTGCATTTCTTCACATGTCTCCACAGATTGAGGCAGCTCTGCAGTGCCGCTATTCAGAGACCCAGGCTCCCCTCTGTCCTCAGGAACAAAATACTTCAAGGTGAGAGTAAAAAGTGGAGGTATAAGAAAGGGAAGGATTTTCTTTCCCTTGTACAGCTCTCGGCAGTACCCTGAAGACCTTTATCACTTTGTCCATCTTCATTTTCTGCATTTTCCTATGATTCAACTGTCTTCAATTTAACGCTCGCTATTAATTATTCTTGCCTTTGAGATCCTCCTTGGATGCTGGGAGTACGGCAGATGAAGAAATCTACTGCAAACTGGGCAAAGGACTCGGCATTGCAGCAGCACCGGGACAAAGGAGTTCATTACTGTAATTAGTGCCTTCAGCGTGTGAAGATTTGCTTGTGAACAGCAGCATCCTTTAAACCCCAGGCCACGTGCTGGGACTTCAAGGGGTTCTCACTCGCTACCGGCGGGCACAGCCTACAGCTCTTCCACGCGGCGTTCCCCCGGCTGCCCGACAGCGAATTAGCTCCAGATTTGATTTGATCCTGCACACAACCTGGCTCTGAGGCTTGGAAAGCCTCGCCTCCCTTCACGTCCTTGTCCGTGGACGTGATGCAGCCTCGTGTACCCGGCTCCACCAGAGTTACTCAGGGGGATCAGAGGTTTGGGGGACCTGGTGCAGCCTGCCAGCCTCTTGAGGTGGCAGGATGATAGCGACAGAGGGAGGAGAGCCGAGCCGGATCCACTTCATCCACCCTCTCCTCCCTGACAGCATCCAGCTTCCAATCCTAGTTGGGATATCTTCACAGGAACCTTGGCTGGTGGGGGTTTCCAGCATCTGTCTGGGTGAGGGCACTGCTTCCCAGCGCTTAACTGGTGCTGTGATGGAGGATTACTCAGCATCCCCAATACCCAGCCTACCTCAATTTCAGGTGAGCTGAGCTCTGTGAGTCCAGTGCCTTGGGGCCACTCCCACGCTAATGCATCCAGCCCGGCTGCCAGGCACCCCGGCTCCGATACCTGCTTGCCTTTTCTTTTAACTTCCCTCTTCAGCTCTTTCCTCATTTCTAGTGTTTTTCATCATTCTCCATGTGTTTCTCAATGCCCTAAATTCTTTCAGTTGCCTGGGTCTGCTTTTTGTCTGTTCCCAGCAGTCTTGATGAGGGTCAGCCATCAATTTATACGAAGGTATACAACATCTTCAGTGCTGGTTTTCAGGCTGCATTCCAAAACTGTTTATTCCTCTGGCTGCTCTCCCCTGGAATTCCTCCCATCTCAGGCTGCAGCAGATCTTTTTTCCCCCGGACTTGGCGGCAGCTGAGCTGGACCCTGTTGGCATGTTGCATTCCACGAAGCTCAGCCGCAAGAGCGTGCCGTGGCACGGCTACCACGCCAACATCCAGCTGCGGGAGTGGGAGGCTCAGGCAGGCTGCTGTTTGGATGCTGAGCTGATTTTAGCTGCTTCTCGTCGCCTTGTTTCTCTGAGGTATCTCGGACGCTTCACTGGAGCGCTGGTGCTCCCTGCCCATGCTGCTGGGAAGGACCTGCTGGTCTGCTGGGTGCAAGCCGTAGGTGGTGGAGGATGGGATGTATTGGAGGTGCCACCTCCTTGGGAACAGGGAAACCCGGGTGGGGACAAATTGCCACACATGGCGCTGGATGACAGCACTCCTGGTATGCCCTCTGAACCGCAAATCTAAAGGCCAAACTGTTGCTGGAGATAATTAGTTGTCACAGCCAAAAGGCTCGATGACACATAATCCCCTCAGAAGCTGGCATCTGTTTAACCAGCAGAAATAAGAGCACTTCGGAGGCTGCGGAGCGAGCGCTCGGCTCTCCCCCTTCCGCGTCATCTTCGTTGCGCAGTGCTGGCATCAGAGCTCCTTCCACTTCCCAGCCCCAGGGTTTGCACACTGGAGTGGAAGCGTATCTGAAACGACACATCGGCTCTTATTTGCAGCCTGTCTTGCCCAGGGCCTGCAGGGGTTAAAAAAAGCTGAAGAAAGGTTACAAGGTTTTTCAGTACGTGAGTAACTCTCTAGCATTCATACTCCTGAGCCCAGCAGCTCCGTTACTGCCTATACCTTTTATCTTAAATACTTTGTTTTGAAGCAGTTGCAGGTTTCTGAGTCAGTCAGTTTATCAGGCTCAGGGAGGTGAAGCCCGACTATATTACGCTGCTAAAAGCAAAAATGCACAAGAAATGGCATTTCCCAAATACAGGGAGAGGAGCTCACTGAACTGAGGCTACAAAAGGCAGACACTCCATAAGGACCAGCTGACACTGAATATCTTCAGACAGTAATATTGAAAATAGGGAGTAGATACAGTTTCTTGCGCCTTCTTTTGCTGTTTCCAACTGCATGTTGAGAGACACTGCACGGAGAAAGGACCGTTGCCCAAGTTATCCCGTGGGAACAGGCTGGGAGCAGCCTACGTGCAGCGCGTGGACGGGGACCCCTCCCCAGGCACTCTGCCACCACGAGCACCTTCTCCCAGGGCTGTTACTGCTTATGCCAAAGGCTCCGTTGGCTGCTTTCTCGGATGAAGAAGTGTAGCTGAGGACGCTGGCTGTGGTCAGAGATGGATACCTGTGTGAAGGCTTACACAGACGTACATTCATGTCTGTTGAGGTTAATGGCGATAAAATGGTTAGGCGTCTGTTGGGTTTTTCTTGCCTCAAAGGTGACATCTTGGCAGTCTTTCTGCAGGCAGCATCCAACCCAAGGTGCTCGGACCGCGCCGAGGCCGAGTTCACATCCTCAGTGCTCGAGAAGCGGTAGCGCAGTGGCAGCCACAGCTTGGGTCTTGGTCTGAGGCGGGTTTGCAGATGGGGGAGTGGGAACTTCAGAAGAGCAAGCCTGGAGACGGCAGCATCTTCCCAGGTGCTCCTCCGTCCTACCGGGCCTGGCCTCTGTCCACGTCTCCTCTGTGAAGGAAAGGCTGTGCGTGGGACACCACAGCCTCGTTTTGTTGGCTTGCGCTGTATTTGATTGAAAAAGCAGATCCCTGTTTGTCAACAGACGCAGCTGAGTCACCGTTGGGTTATTTTCTACTCCATGTACAGAGACGCTCGAGGGTCAGCTCCAACATCGTGTCCTGGTAAATGCTGAGTTTTTAATCACGGTTGTCACGAGCAGGAGTCATCTCATCTAACTCTAGATGCTTACGTGACGATGTCTCTAGCTGAGCAATGCCCTCCTGGTTCATGGATGGAAATGGGCATTTCTAACGTCTGTTATCTGCATCTGACCTTAGCTTGTACCCTAACTTCTTCCTTTCTTCCACTGATGATCAAATAGCTCGATGTGTATTTAGCATTAAACCCATTTAATATTTAGTGACTGTAGAGTAAGGATTCGGGGGATAGACACTGGGCTTAGGGAGTGTCAGTAGCGACTCTACAACAGCATAGTAAACTCTTGTAGTATCTTCCACCAGAAGAGAAAATCCGTGTGGGTGCTGCTTCCCAAAGGTGTGATAGCCGGCAGCCGGCGCTGGGCAAACACCCAGAGGCTGTGACACCACAGCGTTTTTCCTGCAGATGCCATACCTAGCCACATCTGCTGTATTATTTTAGGGGAAGGGGTAAAAAAACCCCCAGCCTACTCTTAAGAGCGCAGCACTCATCCAAGCACACGCAGCGGTGATGCAATACGTCTTAAATAATCATCAGTTATGAACGACTTGAAACGTAGCCAGGCAGTGGCATCGTGTCCCTTCAGAAATCAATCCCACCTAAGGGTAGGGACCCCGACGCGCACACGTGTGCGCAGAGCCCTCCTGTCCCAATGAAAGCCAGAAGGTGTTACGTGCTGCTCCTCGGGCGCTTCCGGGGGGTTATGGCAGGCAGGAGGAAGAGACCTTAGGGGATAAGTAATTCAGCTAAGAGGGCAAGAGAATTGTCTGGCGTTCTCTGAGCCCAGCCCAGAGAGGGAAAGTCTTGTGAATTTGCTCCTGGACTTTAGTCAACGCATTCTGTGTTTCTGGATGCGTTCCCTGCTCAGCCAGTCCTGCCTCAACAGGAATCACATGAATTACATGGCAGGTTCTGCTGTCCTGCCGCTACTTCTGATGATAAATCTCATCTCATGTCCAACCAGATGAGATACTGGCATGGACACTCCCCAGCTTCCCTCCCCCAGATCCAACCAGTGACAAGCCACTCCTGATGCCTGCTTCTTGCAGGCTGCTAGCAGCAGGAGTGATGGTCACCAGGCCCAGAGATTACTGGGGTTATTTTCCTGAATGAACATTTCTGTATTCTCTGAGTTTTCATTACTGTTCCCTGGGAAATGAGGAGGATTGTCCCTGCTATTAAAGGATGGTGCCAGACCTTGCCAAGAGGGATGCTACATTGCGATGTGTATTTTTTGCCCTGCACTGAAGCAGGACCCTGCTGCTGGCTGGGGCCACAGGCTGTTTGCTCAGACCTTGCTGAGTGCAAGCGAGAGACGTGGCCATGGAAAAGGACAAGGAGTCGTGCAGCAGGTGGTACAGTACATTCAGATCAACTTGACAAGCTGATATTAATACTAATGATAGGCAGGAAGAATGAACAAAAGCAGGTTGGAGTTTAGCTGCCCTAGTTAGACTTGCAGTTTTTCAAGGCATGATTGGATCCAGAATAATTTTTAGCATTGCATGTGGATGAGCAGAATCACTAAATAGCAACCGTATAACAACGGTACTTTAGGACATAAAGGGTCTGGAGGCGTAAGCTGCTGGCTGGCTTTGCTCACGGGTGGCGGTTTGGTCAGCGATATATCACGGTCTTGTAACTGCTGGAATAGAAGGACACTGTGGTGCAGTTTGAGTTTGTCATCAGAGAGGTCTGGCGGGGGGAGAGGTGGGCTTTGGAGGAAAAGCCAACACTAACAACCTACTCAGAAATGCTTTTGGAGTGGCCCTGGGAAAGCAGATGTGGGCTCATCTTTCTGCAATGAAATTTGAAAATTGGATGGGATGTAAGAGTGGATGATAAAGACTTTTTTACATATTGGAGCCCTTACAAAAGAGAAAAACAATGTGTCTGGATCAGATCGACGACCCACCTAGTGTCTTAGAGCAGATGTTGAGAAGAATACAAATACGTGGCAAGTATGCAGTACTCAGTTTTCCCAGCCTCCAATATTTCGTATGGATAGCGGAGTTTCAAAGAGAAGGGTGATATCTTTGTATTTATTACCCCTCAATGACTTTTCTTCCAGAAATTTGTCTAGGTGCTTTTTAAAGTGACATAAACTTCTAACAGACACATCTGCAGAAGGAATTTCCCAGCTCAGTTACCCTGCCTGTGAAAAACTGCCTCTTTCTGGTTTTTAGACTGCCATGTCAGAGTTTAACTTCCTTAATTCTTGTGAGGGAACAGCTGTCCTCTCTCTTCTCCCTATTCCCTACTTGTTCCTCTGTAGACATCTCCGTAGACCTCTGCACATCCCCTGTGCAGCATCTCTGCTCTGGTCCTGAGACAGTCATGCATGGAAGCTCTTCAGAGCCATTCATCACACCAGGAGGGGGTCTTCCCCATCTCCTGGATCCTACCCGAGATGGGCAAAGGAGGGAGCCACAACTGCCTTGTTCTGTACATAACTGCCTGCTTTCGGTCGCCTAACACAATGCCACTGGAGAAGCAGACGGTTTGACGGCAGCCCCCTCGGAGCTGCTGCATGGGCAGATCCGGTGGTTTGCTAGCTAGTGGCACGAACCCTTTTAGAAGTGCCCTCCTCTGGGCAACACCACTGTTTATACAAAGCCTCTGTGATGGAAATCATTGTTTAGTGCAGAGCCGCTGACTACAGGCCACCCTCGCCTTTATTTTATAAGCAAAAGATTTTTACTGGGGGCTGGCTGGATCTTTCCAGCGGCGCTACGTAAACCCGAGCCTGCCGGAATGACGCGTGGCTCAGGCTGTGCAAGGTCTCCTCTCCCGGTGGCCCTGCACGCAGGTGTCCTCCGCACGTCAGGGAGACGCAGGCACTAATCGAACTTCGGCTGAAACAGAGGAAGGCTCAACAGCTCCAGCCTGGCTCTTGCTTTAGGTAAGCCTCTGCTTCCTTCTGGTGACCAGCTCTGAAGGACAGTAGCTGAGCTGGAGCAGGGATGAGGCGTGGTGGGACTCGGCGCCCTGGAAGTGAGCAGGATCTATGCCTAAACCTCTATGCAACAGAGTAAGTGGGTTTGCAGCTTTTTTTCCCCTCCAGGACTGCTGTTATAAATCTGCTGACAGTAGAGCTGGTGGCTCTCTATACTGCACAAAAAAGAAAAACGAAGAAAGGAAAAAAAAAGGAGAGGCTAAAAATAGGCTGTGGGGTGTTTGGGATAATGAAGGGCTTGTTCTGATGAGAGAACGGGGCTCCCGGCGCGAGGCGGCTGGCTCACCGCGCTGAGCGCGGCACTCGGCCGCTCAGCCCGAAGAGGGGAGAGACAGGAACAAAGGCAG